TGGGCGGCGCTGCCTTCAGAGCAACCTCAGCGTCCACCCCGGGGCTCGGAGGCAAGCCCTACCGAGCGCCGGCAGTGGATGCTTTCCCGGAGGTTGCTTTGAAGGCAGCACCGCCCAGATGGGCGGCGCTGCCTTCAGAGCAACCTCCAGGGAAGCGTCCACCGCTGGCGCTCGGAGGCAAGCACCGCCCAGCTGGGGGGAAATGGTGCCTATGGGGAAAAATCGCAAAGCGATTCGGTATGCGGATTCGTCGTTAAACGGTGCACTCGTTATATGAGGCACCACTGTACATCAGCCATTGTAGCCTTTCAACTGCAGGGCTCTCAATCATCCAGGTGGTTTTCCCATCCTACATTGAAGGCCTTTTTCAAAGGACTTTCAAATATGAGACCTACTGTGAAGAGACCTTTGCCACAATGGTCACTACAACTTGTGCTTCATTCCCTTACCCTTCCTCCCTTCAAGCCTATGGCTAATTGTGACCTGAGATTTTTATAATTCAAGACCTTGTTTCTGGTGGCCACCACTTCGGCGCGTAGAGCTAGTGAGTTGGCAGCACTTCTTGCGGATTCTCCCTACATTCAGTTTTTCAAGGACACAGTTGTGTTGCACCCATATATTTCCTTCCTCCCTAAAGTGATTTCAGAGTTTCATATTAATCAACCTTTGTTGTTACCTACACTGTTTCCAAATCCATTCTGATGTTGAGTGCATGCTCCACTGTTTAGATGTTCGACGTGCACTGTCTTTTTATGTTTCAAGAACCAAGGACTTTAGAAAGATTCAAAGGCTTTTCATATGCTTCTACGGTCAGCATAAATGTTCTGCTGCCTCATCATCTACTCTGTCCAGATGTTTGGTTTCCACCATTTCTTTGGCCCATGAATTGCACAACAAGACTCCCTGAGGGTCTTCGAGCTCATTCCACTAGAGCTGTTGCCCCATCCACGGCCCTGCTGTGAGGAGTTGACATCCCTGACATATGCAGAGCAGCTACCTACGGACAAGTGGGGAGGCTGGGCGGGATGTGTGTATTCACAGAGATCCACTTGAAGAACCATGTTTACAGGTAAGTAACCTGTTCTTTTTGTTTGCGGCACCCCTATTATTTGAGTTGGCTTACAGAATGAGAAATGCTGCTGTCACACAGTATCTCAGTACAATAATACAGTGGGGCCTCGACTTACAAACATCCCTACTTATGAAAATTTCAAGGTACGAAAAGCTCCGGCCACAAAATTTTGGTTTGACTTCCGGCTGGAGCTTCAACCTGCAAAAGGCAAGGGGAAAAGGTGGGAAATTGAAAGCCACCCCTGCTGCCCTCTACCTCCCATCCCCACGGGGACAGAAGGCAAAGGGCAGCGGGGGCAACTTTGAAATGCCGGGACGCTGAAAGCCACCCCAATCTCCACGCCAGCTGCTGGCTTCCCGGGCGTCCAAACCCCCTCCGCTGCCCTCTGCCTCGTGTCCCTGCGGGGATTCAGATGTAGAGACTGAGTGGGAGGGTGAAGATTTGGCTAAGGAGTGAGATGGAAATGAAATGTGTGAAGTATATATGGAAGAAAGCAGGTCTGGATAGGACCTTGTGTTCCTCCCAAACATTTACTTACCTCTCTTGCCAACAACGTATTTTGTTGCTTAGTTGTTAAGTCGTGTCTGACTCTTCGTGCCCCCATGGACCAGTCGCAACGTATGGAAGTGAGAGCTGGACCATAAGGAAGGCTGACAGGCCTTCCTGTCTTCCACTGCCTCCTGAAGTTGGGTCAAATCCATTTTGGTAGCTTCCATGACACTGTCCAACCATCTCATCCTCTGTTGTCCCCCTTCTCCTCTTGCCTTCACACTTTCCCAACATCAGGGACTTTTCCAGGGAGTCTTCTCTTCTCATCAGATGGCCAAAGTACTGGAGCCTCAGCATCAGGATCTGTCCTTCCAGTGAGCACTCAGGGTTGATTTCCTTTAGAATGGATGGGTTTGTTCTCCTTGCAGTCCAGGGGACTCTCAAGAGTCTTCTCCAGCACCACAATTCAGAAGCATCAATTCTTCAGCGGTCAGCCTTCTTCCTGGTCCAACTCTCACTTCCATACGTTGCGACTGGAATAACCATAGCTTTGACTTTGCGGACCTTTGCCGGCAAGGTGATGTCTCTGCTTTTTAAGATGCTGTCTAGGTTTCTCATTGCTTTCCTCTGAAGAAGCAGGCATCTTTCAATTTTGTGGCTGCTGTCTCCATCTGCTGTGATCATGGAGCCCAAGAAACTAAACTCGGTCACTGCCTCCATATCTTCCCCTTCTATTTCCCAGGTGGTGATGGGACCAGTGGCTATGATCTTAGTTTCTTGATGTTGAGCTTCAGACCATTTTTTGAGTTCTCCTCTTTCACCCTCATTAAGAGGTTCTTTAATTCCTCCTCACTTTCTGCCATCAGAGTGGTATCATCTGCATATCTGAGGGTGTTGATATTTCTTCCGGGAATCTTAATTATGGCGTGGGATTCATCCAATCGACATAGTTTGTTGTGGTTTTTGCATAGTCAGTGAAGCAGAAGTAGATGTTTTTCTGGAACTCTCTGGCTTTCTCCATCATCCAGCGCATGTTAACAAATTGGTCTTTAGTTCCTCTGCCCCTTCAAAATCCAGCTTGTACTTCTGGGAGTTCTTGGTCCATATACTGCTGAAGCCTACCTTGTAGGATTTTGAGCATAACCTAGCTAGCGTGTGAAATGAGTGCAATTGTACGGAAGTTGGAGCATTCTTTGGCACTGCCCTTCTTTGGTATTGGGATGTAGACTGATCTTTTCCAGTCCTCTGGCCACTGTTGAGTTGCTGAAGCCTACCTTGTAGGATTTTGAGCATAACCTAGCTAGCGTGTGAAATGAGTGCAATTGTACAGTGGTTGGAGCATTCTTTGTCATTGCCCTTCTTTGGGATTGGGATGTAGACTGATCTTTTCCAATCCTCTGGCCATTGCAGAGTTTTCCAAATTTGCTGGCATATTGAGTGTAGCACCTTAAGAGCATCATCTTTTAAGATTTTAAATAGTTCATCTGGAATGCAATCACCTCCAGTGGCCTTGTTGTTAGCCATGCTTTCTGAGGCCCACTTGACTTCACTCTCCAGGATATCTGGCTCAAGGGCAGCAACCACACTACAGTGATGCCTCGGTTTACGACCATAATGCATTCCAGAAGATGTGCATAACTCGAAATGGTTGTAAGTCGAAGCACCATTTTCCATAGGAATACACTGAAACCCCATTAATCTGTTCCGGCTTGGGGGGGGGGATAAAAAAATAAAATAAAAATAAAACATTGCAAGCACCATAGGAATGTACTGGGACTGAGAAACAAACACACCAAAACAAACAAAACACAGCCAGCCCCAGCGGAATGCCATGGGGCTTGGGGGAAAAACACAACCTCCCCACACACAGCCAACCCCAGTGGAACGTGATGGGCATAGGAAAAAACATTTAAAAACAACCCCCCACACACAGCCAGCCCCAGCGGAACGCGATGGGACTGGGCAAAAAAACACAAAAACACCCTCCACATACACACAACCAGCCCAAATGTGATGGGACTGGGAAAAAAAACACACCAAAACACAAAAACCATCACAGCACAGGAGGGAAGGCAGTAAAACTGGGGGAAAAAACAGTTTTGATCTCTTACCTGGTCAGTGTCTTGGCCTGTAT